ATTTCTGCATTTTTATCGCAGTCAGACAGCCCACATCCTCTGGAGATACAGATACTTATATATGTGTGTGCCTAGACCCTTGCGATTATCTTTGAAGTGGAAACAATTGAGTTTGAACTGCACTTGATTTGCACCTCGTAAATCAACGGAATCGGAATTGGAAATGGAAATGGAAGTGGAAATAGAAAATGGAATTCACATTGAATTTTTGCATTTCAAAGAACGCCTCGCCACGAAAATTTGCATATTCGTAGTCGACTGACTGTCTATTGAAATTGAATTATTAATGCAAATTTGCCACGCTTCACTCTTTCAATTGGCACGGACAATTTTTGGCAGGTACAATCGGGCCTGCCTCTCGGGAAATGCAGTTTATTAAATCATAAATACGTAGGTACATTTTCAAATGGTTCAACAAATTGCAACAAAGTTAACGAAATTTAAAGGAAGAGAGATTCAAATGGTTAGGAAATTCTATAACTAGAGCTCTCGAACTCTGCCTCGAACCCTTGAACCCTCGAAATGAATTAACCATCTCGGATGATGTGCATAATTGAAGGAACCGCCAGGAGGACATATGGATTTAAAATTCACAGATCCTAACTATATGGAGTGCCCCCTGCCTGCCTTCCTTCCATCCCGCCACCCATTGTCATCATCTAGATACGTCGCCGTTTGGGTCTTTGTCTCAATTTGGGGATGTGCTCCTCTATGAGTGTGTGTGATTCCGTTAGCCATTTGCTTGGGCATTTACCCCCGTTGCATAATTAATGGTATTAAAAGCGTTAACTGACATTCAACACACACACACACACACACACACACGCAGAATAGTTGGCATAATTTGAGCATTTCAATGAGGTCGATAATTTGATGGTTCAAAGGTTACGGGTAACTGCTAACGAAATGGGGGAAAGCACACACACACACGCACATCCACGTAGACAGCAGCCTTTTTAGCCGCAAAGATACATTTGTATTTGTATCTTTGTGCGTGCGTCTGCTGCTAGCTACTTTTATCGATGTCTGATATCCACGTGTCTGTGTGTGTATGTGTGTGTCTGCGTGTGTACAAATATAATCAGTTTAAAGATGAAGAAATCCCAAAAACAACAAGCTGCTCTTTCTACCCCACAACAACAACAAGAAAGAACAACAACAGCAAAAGCAAGAACATTCGAAAGGTATTTCCCGGGTCCCAACGGCATGACATTGAATCCCAAAGCAACCCCAAAACAAAAACACACACAAACGCACAGAGCGAGAGAGAGAGGGAGAGGGAGAGGGAGAGGGAGAGAGAGCGGAGCTTCATTCACTGAAATGAAATGAACATGTCGAGGCCGTTAAAAAAGCTCACTCATAAGAAAACCACTCAAGGCGGCCACTCACTTTCGCTCTCTGTTCTCTCCCGCTCGAAGCGAAAGTGTTTTCAACAAGTTCTCTTCCGGCAAAAAGGATAAAGCCAAGGCTGCAGACAGAACACAAAACAAACAAGCAACAAAGCCTCGAGAAGCAGTCGAGGAAGGACTTCCAACTCCAATTCCACTCCCAACCCCACCGAAAAAGTCTATTATAATACAAAGAAAGCGGGCAAGAAGCCAAAGAAGATGTGAAAAAATAACACAGCTTGGAAGGGGGGTCTTTTTTCGGGGGTGGGTGGCTTTGGCTGGAGAGGAGGGTGCTGCTGGGCTGCTGCTGGGGCGCTGCGAAGCGTGGAGCGTTAAGCCGAGAAAGAGCATAAATAAATAAAGCCCAAACAACAATAGAAAGCACCACCAGAAACAGCAACAAAAGCAGCAACAAAATGGAGACGGCCATGTTTTTGTGTGAATTTCTCTCGCTCTCTTCATTTGTGTGCGTGTGTTTTGGTGGAGAAAATGCCAAAAGGCATAGAAATGGCGCGAAAGTAAGTTTTCGCATTATTTTAGGCCTGCCACCACCCCCCAACCGCTCTTTCCGCCCACTCCTTCGCACTCCTCAGCTCTCCTCCGCACTCCTCCCCTGACTTTTGCCTAGCTTTGCTTCTTCTAACGAGTGCTCTTCCTCTTTGTCATTTCCATTGAGTTTATGCGACAATAAAGTTGAAAATTTTGAATATTATCGTTAGTGAAAAATTAGAGACAAGCTGCGGCACTCCCGCTTGACGCTTACCAGAGAGAGAGAGAGAGAGAGAGAATAGATTTTGCTGGATACCCTTGAAGACGGTCCTTTAAGAATGCCCCGATAGGCGTATCCCTCTTGAACTTTAGATCCTTTAGGGTATCAAAGCTGTCGACACCCAAAAGCTACCTTTTCCATCTTGTTGTTGTTTTTGCTGTTTGCCGGCGTGCGCCAAAAACGCTCTCGGCTCCTCACGGGCCTGTTCACGCTGTTGCCTGATAACATCAGCGACAACATCCGAGAGCCGCCAAAGAGCCAAGAGAGAGAGAGAAAGTGGGGAGACCAGCCGAGAGGAGGCAGGTAAAGCGATTTATGCTCTCTGGAAATTCATCATTAAATTTGTGAGAGTTTTTGTTGGCGATGCCAGAGCGATAAGGCCCCGTTGTTGTTTTTGCTGCTTCGCAAATTTACAGTTAATCGTTCCGCCCCCCCCGCAGCCCCGCCTCACACCAGTGTTTGCCCCCTGGCCATAAAGAAAAGCCTTAACTTTTGGATAAAGATATTTCGAATTTATTTCAATTGTCTGTGCCTCGAATCCTGTGGATGGCATGGGGTGTGGGGCCCAAAAGGTTATCGGCTGTGAGATGGATTTGTGGGTGTTACGGGTACTATAAAGTTGGTCGAGATGGCAAATCATTAGAGTTTGCTTAGATAATTAAGCGAGGGGAGCAATTTTTAAAGGGTTACAACTAATTTTAGTAGATGGTGGAGCCTGAAGGGTAAGCAGAAAGGTTATTTCTAGTATCATTCCCATCCTAAGACTGCCACGTCTTTGAAAATCTGCCTTCCCTCTGCTCCCAGGCATTGATTCGGCAAATTTAAGGACTGTCCACCCACTTAAAAACAGGAAAATCTCCACCCAATCGAATTTCTTCTCGCGAAGGCCCTCACCTCCAGATATGAATGACCAATTATGCACTTCGTTGGCTCTACGTGCCTGAGCTGCCAATAGACCCCGCCATAATAGAGCGGAACATCCCCATCGAAGCGCCATCGGGGGTGGCTGGTGGGTGGATGGGGCTGCCCCCGAGGTGCGCCTCTGTCATGTGCGAGCATTTGATGATGCGTAGCTTTTCATTAAATGAAAATTTCGCGTTGCTGGCAAAACAAAGGACAAGGAAGAGGCCAAAAGAGCAAACTTTGTTGCCGCCGAAGGAAAGCGGGCGACGCAGAGCCCCAAGATGGAGGACACTTTGATTTATTGGCAGGACGCGACTGGAATTTTTAATTGCCCCAAAGGGAGTGGGTGCCCAGCAGCAGGTCAGGGACTGGTACGAGTGGGATATTCGGGATCTCTAGTCAGAGTCTCAGACGCAACTGCAGCGGAAAACGAGCAGAAGACATATGCAAATGGATACCTCAAAGGATGGGGGTGGGGGGAGCGCACTGGCAATTTATGCGTCCTGTCAGGATATTTTGAAAACATTGTAATCCAAGCGTGAGAGGGGCACGGTGGTGCTGGTGGTGCCTCTTCCGAGAAAGTCAATTAGCTGCCCATAAAGATGCAGGGCGATGATGGGTGCTCGTCCTCGTCCTCCATCAAGTGAATGATCCTCCTCAATAGCCACTCGATACGTATTCAAATTTCATTGTTTTCCTCGCTGCAGTTGCATCTGTGAGCGTTTCCACGCTACGCTGTAACTCGATATTGCATCTGACAGATACATGGCTCGCCCTCTCGGGGGATGTGTGTCTGTGTCCCTGTGTTCTCCCAGTCCCTCAGTCCTCATCGATTCTCTGGTCTGCACATCTGTTTCCCGACTTCGATGAACGCCACGCGTGGCCTTTAAGCTACAGAAATTATACAATTCTGATTCTTTTTATACGAATTAGTATAAATTCGCTTATGATTCATTGGGGGGCAGTGTGAATGGAGTCTGGCCTCGGTTTGATTCATTTTCATTACTTTTTTATCAGTTTGAAATTGAAATTCGTTTATTTTTGGGCATATAAAAATACATTTCTTATCGAATTTCGTGTTTGCTGAATGGTTTTTAATGGGCTGAGATAAGCTTGGCTTTTTAGCGCTCTAAAAATTCCCCCTGCGATCCTTGCCGACCCCCTCCCACAGAGCACGGACATATGCAGATGCTTCCCCGCTGGTTAACACCTCCTCCGCCCTCCCTGCTAATTTGTCCAATTTGTCGAGTGAGAAACAGCACGAAAAAAATGAGCGAAAAATATGATGAAAATTGGTGGGCCACCCGCTGATACGAAAAGGAAGGAAAATATTATTTGTGCAAATAAAATCAGTGGGGGAGAAGTGAGGGAAGGGAAGGGAAGGGATGGGATGGGATGGGCTGGACGATAGGGCCCTATCATGTCGCGCCGCCGGATGCATAAAAGTATTTTCGCCATTTAAATGCGCCACTCACGGGTGTCAATTTCCAACGGGGCACGGATCCCGGACCAGCCGCAGGACACTCGCCGGCTGTCGGCCCTGCAAGCCACTTATCGCATCCGCAGCCCCCGGGCATGGCATCGCATCGATTGGACAACAAGGGGCAACAAGGGGCACGGCACTCGAACTTGCCGCAGGGCCAACATCTGCTTGAAAAACGAGCAAGTGGCACTGGCACTGGCACCAGCAGTGGCAAGTGCGGCTGGGCGGGGGGGCAGGCAGCAAAAAGGCGAAACCCGTGATTAGCAGCTCATAAAGCCGCATCCGAAGCCGTCATAAAGAGACTTAATTTGAAGGCAGCACAGCAGCCCGATTGAGAGGAAAAGGGCAGGGGAATACAGCAAAGAACAATCGTAGAAGTGAGGATTTCTTGAATTTCTTTTGCAGTGCCGAGTTTATTGACTAATTTTCCCCCCATGAAACTTTTCATTGCTTTCAGGTTCTTCCTGAAGTTCTTCTTGAAGTGCAACCAGAACTGCCTGAAAAACGCTGGCAACCCGCGGGACATGCGCAGATTCCAGGTGAGTGGCGATGCCTAACCAAGAATCGATGATGATCGGTGCTAATCGGCGACTCTCTTCGCCCCCCTTCTCCCCTTTTGCAGGTGGTCATCTCCACACAGGTGGCCGTGGACGGACCCCTGCTGGCCATCTCCGACAACATGTTCGTGCACAACAACTCGAAGCACGGACGGAGGGCCAAGCGGCTGGACACCACGGAAGGTACAGGCAACACATCCCTGTCCATATCCGGTCACCCCCTAGCGCCCGACAGTACCTACGATGGTCTGTAGCAAAATTCCAATTATTCCAAACACTTTTTTCGTTTTACGTAGCCAGCCCCGCCACCCCAGCAATCCCCCCACCCCCCCGAAAGACATGCCCCCTTTTCATTTTGTTCGTAGCAATTGGCAGATCCAAGAGGAAGGCTTCTTTGGCGGCAATTTACTCATCTCGAAACCATTTGAATCCATTGCAGGTCTCTACCCGCCCCTGCCGGTGGCCACGCCCTGCATCAAGGCGATCTCCCCGAGCGAGGGCTGGACCACGGGCGGCGCCACAGTCATCATTGTGGGCGACAACTTCTTCGACGGCCTCCAGGTGGTCTTCGGGACGATGCTCGTGTGGAGCGAGCTGATTACCTCGCACGCCATCCGCGTCCAGACCCCGCCCAGGCATATACCCGGCGTCGTCGAGGTGACGCTCTCCTACAAGAGCAAGCAGTTCTGCAAGGGATCGCCCGGACGCTTCGTCTATGTCTGTAAGTGGTCGCCACCATCCTCCTCCAGCCATCCCACGCTGGCCTTCGCCAAGTCCATGCCTAACCTTTCGATCCCTTTCTCGCGCTCCAAGCAGCTCTCAACGAACCCACAATCGACTACGGATTCCAGCGCCTGCAGAAGCTCATTCCGCGCCACCCCGGCGATCCGGAGAAGCTGCAGAAGGAGATCATATTGAAGCGGGCCGCCGACCTGGTCGAGGCCCTCTACTCAATGCCCAGGTAAGACCATCTCTGCCCCGAGTCCCCCGCCCACAGCCTCTCACTCTCTCCCTCTCTGCAACCCTTGCGCGCAGCAGATCTCCGGGCGGCTCCACCGGCTTCAACTCCTACGCCGGACAGCTGGCCGTCAGCGTCCAAGACGGCACCGGCCAGTGGACCGAGGACGACTACCAGCGCGCCCAGTCGAGCAGCGTGAGTCCCCGCGGCGGCTACTGCAGCAGCGCCTCCACCCCCCACAGCTCGGGCGGCTCCTACGGCGCCTCGGCCACCACAGCGGCGGTAGCAGCCACGGCCAACGGCTATGCGCCCACACCCAACATGGGCACCCTCTCCTCCTCGCCGGGCAGCGTCTTCAACTCCACGTCAAGTAAGTAGACTGCCTCCCCCGTATAACTAAGATCTGACGGGTGAAGGGAAAACCATTTGTCAGTTCTACGGATAGTAGTAGGGAAAAGATCTAGACAGAAAAAAGAGACGAGAAGGTGTAGAAGGCCTGAAAGAATATCTTGATTGAATGAAGCAAAGTACAGGATCCAATGAGGATAAACCACAAAGGATGAAAGGGATATCTCCTATAACAATAGAGAAGACACAACACAATGTTTCAGAAGAAGTTTTCATAGATATTCATGGGATGTTTCGATAGATCAGATCTTTGTATAGGCGGCCAGCCATTTCTCCTACGATCCATAATCGCTTCAGAGTCCCCAGAACTTTTCTTGAGTTGATTATACCTTTTCCGTTTGTATAAATCTCACATGAATTCCACCCACTCCCCATCCCCATTCCCCCAAAAAAACAAAGTGAACAAAGTATGCTCAGCAAAAGTGCATTTTCCGCCATTAATTTCAACAGTGTCCGCCGTGTCGTCGACGTGGCATCAGGCGTTCGTGCAGCATCATCATGTGGCCGCCGCCCATCCGCACCACTATCCGCATCCCCACCAGCCGTGGCACAATCCGGCCGTGTCAGCAGCCACGGCGGCGGCCGTTTAAGGTCCTGCAGGCAGCAGGAGCTCATCGAAGAGCCAATGGAGGCGTCCAGGCAGAAGGAGGAGCAGCTGGATTGGGAATGGGAATGGGCTGGAGTAACGACATTCTGTTGAAATTAAATGCTGCTGAAACACGCCCGCCCACACAGACACCAGCCCCCACCAACCCACCCACAGACAACACACAGCTGGGCAGACACCCACTCTTATCTATCGGCGAGGACGGCCCACAATCTGTGCCTGTGGCTGAGAACCGACAAAACTAAACACTTCCACCTACAAAAAAAAACACCACAGACAACACACGATTAACGGTATTTATAATTTGCATTATCCCAATATTTCTAACTACGATTAAGAACAAGAACCCCCAAAAATATTCTGATCTACTAAAAACGGTCTCTCTGGTGGGTCTTTAAGATGGGAAAGATCAACGTAGATAAGGAAAAGCTCTCATTTGTATATTAACTCTATTATAATTTCATTCATTTTAACGTTTACCTAAAGATAGGAAACTTTCTTCTTAGGAAAATGCATTTCCCTTAACCTAAACGCAGACACAAACCATACATACATATGTACATCTTTGATAATTCCCAACTAATTGCAATTCAATTTTTGTATTCAACTATTTCTAGGAGTGAGCAGCCTGAGTTTCAATCCCTTCGCCCTGCCCACCTGCAACACCCAGGGCTACAGCACCAGCCAGCTGGTGACTTCAACCAAATAATATTACCACTAAATGAGGCTATTGGCAGGCCACCAATAATCCCCTCCCCCACCCCAACCAATCCGGAGTTCCAGATATCCGAAATAAGCAGAAGCTCGAAAGTGCAATAACCAGAAAATAGAGAATGGTTCCAAAATTCAAAAACCCTTTATCAATATAGTTGTATATTTTGTCGATTGATTCCCGTTTTTGATTGTGTTTGAATATGCCTCGGCAATAGATATAGATACATACTAGCTACTTACATACATATATATAATACCATATCAGAGTAAAGGAAATACATATGAAATCCGGGGGGTCGTCAAGGGCAGGCATATCATGCCAGGGGGGCCCCGAAATTTGATTAAACTCTATGTACATACATATATATACTATATAGCACACCTAAATGAAATATATCATAGCGATCGGATCTGTGAATAGGGGAAATTATACCAATTTATATAACCATGATGATTGAAAATTATACGAATGCAGATATACCAAAACAGATGAAATTTGAATTAACCTTTGGACATAACTAAATGCTTGTATACGACGACACCCGTCTGGATATGTACATATCCAGATACGAACTTATGGGAAATACTCTCAACTCAGCCAGAGAAAACCGAAATCAAAATGTTATATACCTAAATAGATATACATACACACTACACAAAACTTAAACATTTGCCGCATACATACATACATATCTAGCATAATACTTATTGCAAGAAATTTATACATACCACAAACTTTTGGCAAACATATCGTGCACTTAGTCCTAGCCATCTATCTCTCACAACAAAACAAAACACAAGCCATACATGCATACGTTTTTGTATAATGCTCATCATATCCACAATTTGGAACGAAATTCATTCGGAGGAACACCAAATCATCATAAGATATATATGTATACATTTTGCTATTCAAGTCAGAGTGTTTGATAAACTACCGATTTGTTGACTAGACTCTAAGCCTACGCCTAAGCCTAAGATATCTGGGTGCATATACAAACATATACATACATATATACGAATAGACACAGACATGGGCATACGAGTACATCATAAGTTTATTGTTTATTAACCGATTTGTAGGAGTTTTATTGCAATCTGTATTATAATGTATTGTATGCTTGTACGTCTAGATCTAGATCTAGATCTACACAAGAGCACTGACGAAATCAGTGGGACAAAGCGAGAGGAATCGAATCCATATGCATATTTATAAGAATAGGCATAGACAGACCTTAGCCGCAAATCGATTTGTAAATTATAATATAATACAAAGAAATAATAATTATAATTCTAATCTAGCTACGCTCTGTTTTGTAAATCTTAACAAGTTATTTAAATAAAATTTATTTAAAATAAACGTCATACATATTAAAAATGTACTGTACTTGTTCTACTATATCGCTCTTTTGCGTTTCTCTGCCAGATATTTATTTGGATGTTTATTCTTATCGTGAATACAATTTTTACATTAATGCTGAAAGAAAAGATGATTAAGTGGATCTACAGAATACATAAAGTCATACACTTAGCCTAATCGATTAAATTCAGCTACCCAAAACCCAAACGAGAAAGAACCCATTCAAACAGCTGTCTCTGTTGCTGTTTGGTTGCTTTCGTTTCTTCGACTTCTTGGTAGCTTATACTTAATCTATTCATTCGTCCTTGCCGGAGGTGGCCTCCTCGCTCGTCTTGAAGATAACCTCCTGGATCTTGGTGCGCACATATAGCTTGCGGCTCAGCGACATCTGGCGCATGCTGGGCACAAGGCTCAGGGCGAAGTAGTAGTCGTCGTCCTTGCTATGTTCCTCGTGGCTCTGCTGAATGATGTAGCTCAGTTGCTCGCTGACCGTGGTCAGGCGGTCGATGGATGTCTCCAGGTTGTTCTTCAGCTGTTTGGCCGCGTTGGCCGTGTTGGTGTTCGAGGCCACCACAGTGGCCACGACTGGGGCACTGCTGATGGTGGCGCGGCTATGGCCGCTGGGGTTCAGCACGGTGACCTTTTCGCCAGACTCGAGGGCGACCTCCTCCTCCATAACGTGTATGGGACTGTAGCAGAGCGGATCTTCGTTGTAGATAATGTCCTTGATGTCCTCGCTGATCCCATCGTTTTGCTCATACTCCTCCCACTTCTGCGGGAGTGCGCCGGTCTCGGCGACAAACGATGTGGACTGCCTTTCAATCTTCGGCTTGGCCACATGCAATGGCTCCCGCAGTTGCTTGGCCTTAGTTATTCGCACAGTTTTCTCTGCAATTATATGTATGCGATAGAGTGTTTGTTAATAAGATATGCGATACATTGAATCTCGTCGAAAAACATCAATAGGCCACCGAGAGATGGCAGTCCGCGATAGTTTACTTTACCCCAAGTCGCACATAGCGCGCCCAATACTCGATAGCGCGTTTGACCGCCCGCCTAAAATGGTCACTTGCTGATAACTGTGCTGAAGTGATAGTTGTTTACCTTTTTTTAGAATGGGAATAAGACGCCCCTGACGGCTCTGCACGGGATTTACGACCACCTCGTCGCTATGCTTGTGGCGCAGATGCGTCCACAAATTTGTGGTATTGTTGCCCTTTAAATTGCTGGCCATGCCACCACGCGATATATTATTTCCGCAATAGCGGCATATCGCAAAGTTTTCGCAGTCCTCGTTGATGTCGTAGTGCTGCCACACATTGCTCACGCGTCCCTTTGGCATCTTTAGATGTTAATTATGAATTAATTTGTGAAAAACTAAAATTTTCTCTACAAATGAAATGCCGATTATATTAGCGTAGCTGGCGTGAGTGTTGTCCAGTGCTGTACCCGTTTTAGTGTTGCAAAACGTAAAAGTATAAGGGAGGAAAACAAAGAAACCAAGAATGAGAGCAAAAAAAAAACAAAAAATTGCATTGAATAAATAGCTAAATGCGCTCTATTAGTTGTATTTGCTAAATTTAATTTTACAATAGTCACAAATACATAAACTGGCACATATGTACTTAAAAACAAATTTCTTAGATTTTCTGTTGATGGGCAACCCTGATAATGGGCACTGAAAACTTTTGTACATACTATTTGGTTCACTTATGTATGCCAGTATGTATGTATGTACGTCTATTAACCCCCAGAAAATTGTTATTTTTATTTGAAACACTTTTATTTTTAAAGAACGGAGATAGGTACATATCGGTCTCAGATTACGGTACTCAGAAGAGGCGGTCTCTGATTCTATCGCGATGGTAATGATCCGTGCCCCATCTATTCCGGGCACGGAGGGCACGCGTGGCAGTGAGGGACGTGACGTGCGTGAATATATCAGATCCTTAACTTACCGTTATTTGAGTTTGAGTGCAAGCACCTGTGCCGGAGTAAGCTTCCAGTGCCTGTCTTTCCACTATAGGATAGCAGATCTCCGCAGGTTTTACAGCAGGCGTACGGCTCTATTTTGTCGTCGCAGGAGACCAAGTTGAAAAACCTCCAGACGCAGCTCTTTGTATTCCTTGGCTCAACCAATTTACAACGCTTGTCGCCCGACTTGAGGAGGCTCCGGAGCTCCGATTTCTTCTCGACGTGCATTGCAATAGTTGGATTCACAACAAAACAATCCTAAATAATAAAATTTACACAAATACAAGCAAAGCACGCATGTCACGACATTCAGTCACGCACAAAACAGTGCTGTAAACTGTTGTTGCTTTTTGTCGGTGCAAGGTGTACGAGAAACGAGGTGCCGCCATTGCATGTAGACAATTGGTTGGGGTAAACACATTTGAAATTGGTACAATAACAGAACCGCACGATGGTCACCTACTAATATTCCAATGTCAGGGTTCACTTCCAAAGAAATGCAAACGGAGGGAAACGGAGTCCAATCCTCTGCATGCGATTGTATTGTCTTTTGGCGGATGTGCAATACAATTTTCGATATAGGACCGCATTCAATAGACAACCAGCAGATATAGGATATTCCGTTGAAGACGCTTCCGGATAAAACTAATCAAACGGCCTGGGAGCTTCGTCATTTTCAAATGGAGAGACTCCGTTGATTTTTGATATCCGGATTGATCCGTCCTGCAGCATATACAAGCTGAACCAAATGGAGTTCTAAGTTGATTGCAATAAGCTTGGTAAAAATCTGTGATCAGCGAGCAAGAATATTTTGAATTATGTGTCAAATCTAATATCAAAGGAGGTATTTTGACGAGATGAACTTACAAACATTATTGTTTTCCGCAATTTACCTCAATTCGTTGAACTGTTTAAATAAAGGGGGCTTAAGTGTGCCTGGTTCGTTTTTTCCTCGGTATAATTACGGTATTTTTTTTAAATGAGACGGTATTTGCAGTGTTGCCATTTTACCTCTTTTAGGCTAGATTTACTTATTTTAAAACGGATATGCTTGAAAATCTAGCCTTTTTATTATATCACTAAAAATTTCACTTAGTTTCTTGGCAAAGTACAGATGACACTATAAAGTTTTGGTAAGAAGTACTGACAAAAACCAACCTTTTAAAGAAATAGCTTTATTTGCCATTGGAATTTTAAGTCCACCACAGTCAAATGAATATCATTAAAACCAAACTTAGCAACAAAATGACCGTTAAATCCTTAAACTTAAATTTAAGAAATATAAATATATAAATTTTAGAAATATTTAATTGTTTGATTTATAGGACTAAAATTCTTTTGAAATTTAACGGATATCGATTGCGCTGTCATGGAAAATGTTGCCACAGCTACCAATTACCGGGAATATTTAAAATTTAATACGTTCCAGCGATAAATATACCGATTGGAGTAATAGCGAATGGGATGAAATAATAACACAATTCTAAAAGTATTTATCTATGTGCTGCTTTTTTTGCAGCCTTTTCTTAAATTTTTAGCTTGTTCTAGCTTGTATTTTTGTGAAATCTAGCTTATTTTGACGATCAAAATCTGGCAGCACTGGGTGTATGTCTGAGGGTTGCCCATATATTTTATCGATAAGTCCGAAAAGAAGAGAAGAAACTGGTAGTTGTTCGCGATTTAATTAATTTCAAGCTAAATTATAGTATTAAACATAGTAACTTACTAAGTGAAAGTGAGCGTGAATCGTGTGAAATGCATATGAATGTCAAAGAGAATATAAATCAGTGCGGAATCAGGCAAAAATGTGCGTAGGCCACTCACACATACACAGCTTTTTCGGTCATCACTCGCCCCATCCGCCGTGCCCTCCAATGAGAGCGAAGAGCATAACAGTAACAGTGCTCAGCAGCAGTATTGGCAGCGTATCGCGAACGAAAGAGAGGCAAACAGCAAGACGAACAACAACAGCAAGCAAAAGAAAAATGTTTTCATTTATTACTGTCGCCGGAGCCAGGAAAACCTGCAAATTGCAAAAAACTGTAAAAGCCACCGCGATAATTATACACTAACTAATCGAAACGCGTTGCCTGCGTGCTGAAAAGTGCGTCTGGGTGTCGCCTATGCGACTAAATTGCAACAGCTGATGCAGCATCTTAAGCCCTCTAACTCCGACAACAGTCGACTGTAAGCCTTACAGACTGTTATGGCCCCACTGCTTCAATTTGCTGCACAGTGGAGCAAAGCAACCCCAACCCCCCCTTCGGCCCGCGCACTGCCGCCCACTGCCTAGTGTGCCCCACTGAATGATTCACATTTTTCTTTTGCTAGTTTTCCACCGTCTTTGGCTGCTTAAATAAATCGTTTTCTGCTTACTGCTGCCGCTGCCGATGCGTGTGCGCAATTAATCCTCATCTCAAATGCAGTTGAGTTGCTAAAATGCCAATCAAATTATTCCGTTGTGTTTTTCTGTCTAGGCTGAAGTGAAAATTCCGCAAGAGAGGCGTCGTCCCACCAAAAAAAAAAACACAACACAGCAGCGAAGACAGCGTAATAGGAAAGTGTGGAAAATAACAAAAGGAAAAGCGCGTGGAGCGAGAGACAGAGTGTCGGAGAGTGTGAGAGAGAGCAAAGTGAAGTGCCAAGTGCAACGGAGACTGGGCGTCGGACAGCCAGCCGGAGTGTCATCCGTTTTGCCCGCCGCGCAGAGAAAATTTCGTAGACTCGGGTTGTTGCACCGTCATCTCCCCTCATCTGCTGTAGCAGCAGCTGCAGCAGCAGCACCACCAGTCGCCGCCGCAGCAACAGCAGCAGCAGCGTATAGCCGTCAGCATGGATGCCGCCGAATCACAGGAAATACGACAGGTTAAACATATTTTTAGCCTTTACTCTAAGCCCCCGCCTAGCCGGGGCGATTGTGTGTGCTTGTTTGACGGTGCGTGTGTGTGTGTGTGTATAGTTACTAATAAAAATATGCTTATACTCGAAGAAACACAAACTAAATATCGCGGCACGGCACTCATTAACATTCCTTCGTTGGCTGAGCGGAGCGGAGTGGAGTGGAGCGGAGAGCAGCGTTTACTTCCCACCTACTCTCTTTGCCAAAATGGTGCGCTGAGTGAGGTAATGCGAGTCGCCGTCGCCGTCGCCGCTCCCACTTGTCCGCGCGCTCCGGCAGGCGAGCGTTTTAATATGCGACCGACACCTACTTAACATTTGACTGGTTTTGATATCCGCCACTCATAAAGGAGGGTACGGGTACGAGAAGTGGCAGTGGCACTCACAGTTTTCGAGAATACAGCAGATCTACAGTCAGAATTTCTATTATTTGTTTTTGTTTTTCCTGCCTGTTGCATTCCAAGTAGATCGTCCATAATCCAGTTGGAATATAGAGTATTCCCATAGTCGGAAGAGCGTAGCGTACTCTGCCGTAGAATCCCAATGCAAACAACAATTGCTATTAGGGACTGGACCAGGTTTTCGAGTATGGGGAGCTGTTCGAACTTGGAAATACAACAAAAGAAACTCCCATTCATGAGAACTGCAACAACAACCGAAAATTGATTTTGAAGCCGGAAAATGGAACCTTTGTTATCGTTTTCCTCTCTTTGACTCTCTCTCTCCCTCTCTCTCTCTGTTCGTCCGTGGTAGCTGCTGTTGCATGACCTAATCGCTAAAAACAAAAAAAACGGCTTACGCATGCGAAAGGCAGGGCAAGAGAGAGAGAGAAGGAGAGACCCTAGCCGAGGTTGGGGCACTTGCGTGTCTGCTCACGCTTTTGGGGGCCTCCAAATCGAACCATTTTTCTTCTTTGTGGCCAACTCCCTGGGTAGAAAGTTGCCGCAGATTATCGAATGGCCACTGGCACCAGTGCCTGCCAGTTCCACAGTTCCACCGGCAATTAACGCATTATAATCTCTCAAAACAGCAAAAACGATCGAGTTTAAACCCAGTAAGAGCCCAAAACTGCCGTTTGCTTTTACTATTTGATTCTCTCTGTTTAGCTTTCGGCTATCGCTCTGTGGAATGCCAAAAACAAATAGCAAACGCAAACGCCAGATAATGAAATCATAAATGCCACCATTTCCATTTGTGACATTTGAAACAAACGGAGAAAAAGAACCAAAACTTTATTACAAACATATGGATACAAGGATGGATATGAATGCTCAAAAAAAATAGATGCATATGCTTATGTATGTGTGTATGTGTGTGTGCATATGCCCTCCGTCTCTCTTGGCTCATCCAATGTGTGGGCGTCTAAACCACCAGCAAACCAGCCATTTATTATAATTTTTCTTCGAATTGTTTACACTAGCCTTTATTTATGAAATTTGAGTTTCAGACATCTCGCTTCAGCTCCCAGCCCCCAGCCCCAGCCCCATCCACATCCACATCTTTTTACAATGGATCTGCAAAGTGCAGCCAGA